GTGCGTGTTATACGCCGGTGCGTGTTATACGCCGATAAATACGGTAACCCTTTCCCATTCATAATAATTTAGATACAGACAACAAATTTGTGACTGGTTACATTAGGTACTCACTTTGACACCAGCCATGCCCTTGTAGCCCCCCTCCCCATTTTCAGTTTTTTTAAAATTGAGACTAAAGCACCTATCTCAAAACATTGTCCACCATATGTGTGATATGGGCACTTCATTTAATGTATAGCCTTTTATTTATAACATAGGATATTTTTATAAATTTCTGGAGGACATCCATGAATAATGTTGCTTATAATATATCTGTTAACAGAAGTTACTCTGATGGTCTTGCAAAGTTGGGATTTCTCAAACAGAACAAGAGATCAGGACAAAAGAAGTTCACATAGAACTTCATGTCTTAACTCTGGGAAAGGGTATTAAACTGTGATATCCATCAGTATAACTTCACTTATAATTCACAACAAATTATAGGAGTTTCTTTTCTTAATGATAGGTGTTATTTTGAGTGATTTTATATCATTGGTACTTAATATATATGAGCAAATTAATAACTGCCTTTTGAAATGTACCATGACAGAAATATTAATATTATTTTGCTGCATTATATTTGATTCTAGTATGCTGTGCTACATTTTAAAGTATCAGTTTGGATTTAAATACTTGCAACTAGTCTTATGTGGCAATTAGTTGCCTAGATTGAGATGGATACTTCTTCTAGACTGAAAGATACCCTATATCAAGCCAATTCAGTGGAGCCTGGATAAATGTAGCAGTAGAAGGGTTATTCTTTTAAGTAGAATATGTGGAATGCATCCCATGTCAGCTGCTAATTAAGAGGTACAAGTCTCTATATATTCAATAGTGAATGGAAAGTTTTGTTTTATTTTGCTCAGTTCTGTGTCATTCTCATTTTCTTTGTTGATTTCAGTATTCATGGAAGTTAGTACACCCGACTGACAAATATTCTAACAAAGATTGCCCTGACAATGCTGAGGAGTATGAAAGAGCAACTCGCTATAATTATACAAGTGAAGAAAAATTTGCTCTTGTAGAGGTAAGAGAATGCAGATGAGTTCTGCAAAATTTCTAGCTTGCCCTCCTATAAATCTGCCTCATTAGACAAAACTAACATTCCCTCTTCTCCCCCATGCAGGTCATTGCAATGATTAAAGGATTACAGGTGTTGATGGGGAGAATGGAAAGTGTCTTCAATCATGCCATTCGTCATACAATCTATGCTGCTCTCCAAGACTTTGCCCAAATCACACTTAGAGAACCATTAAGACAAGCCATCAAAAAGAAGAAGAACGTCATCCAAAGGTAGTGACTGACATTATTCATACCAGTACCTCGTAGGATCCCTGCTCCGGAGCTTGTCGGGTGTGAGTCCCTGCTGNAGGGACCTAGGAGACAGCACTGATTCCAGATTGGCACTCTGTATGTGGGAGGAGTCTCATATAGTCAAACCGTTGGTAAAAAATCTAGATCAGTGTTTCTCAACCTTGGCAACTTGAAGATGTCTGGACTTCAACTCCCAGAATTCTGGGAGTTGAAGTCCGGACATCTTCAAGTTGCCAAGGTTGAGAAACACTGATCTAGGCTTTTCTGAAACTCAAAGAACCAAACAGTTATGTTTATTTATCCTCACGTTGTTTCAAGAACAGTAATTTGTTCATACATACAAGCTTCCATGCCCTTCATACTATTCCCATCTGAGTTAAGAAAAATAGGAAAAGTGCAGACAAGGAATAAAAATGTAATTATCTTTACTATTTTTCTTCTTTTTTCTGCCCTTTCTATGATGTTTACTCTTATGAGTAAACATTTTCTTATAAGTTAAGAAAAGAAAGCTTATATAAATGCCTTTCTGTCTATTACAAACTATTTATTTTCATCATTTCCATGCACATCTCCATATATTGCATTTTGCTATTTAATCATCTCACTTCTCTCTTTTTAAGTATCTCATAAACTGTCCAACCATGACTTTATTGGTCTTTCTCATACATTAGAGGACATATCTATTATTATAGCAAATATCCTGTAGATTTCCTGCTGAGTGGGAGTATTGGAAATAAAGTTGAATTTTGTTGACTGGAAGAATTAAACATTATAGCGAAAATTTATTTATGAAGTATTTAACAACCAAAACTCTGCTTCATTCGTGTTTTGTAAAGCATTTCTGGAAATATTTTAATAATGAGGCTGTTATGTAATATTTCAAGATACAGTTATATGGATTCTTTCTCTTTTGTACTCATTTGATATTAAGAATATCTTTTGGCACTGAGAGACCCCCCAGAAGCATTTATTTTCTGTATGTGAGCACGAGGGAGAATGGAAATATTGTATATAGAGAAATCCTATTAAAAATGAGATTGCTTGAATCCATGCAAAAATGAGTTGCCATATTTATTTTGTCAACCATGTTTTAGCCTAAAAAATCCCCTGTAGTTTGACAATCTTACAACTCCATGTAAATGCTAAAAGAAGTACGTATTACAAAATTCAGTTTTATTCCAGGTTACTTGAATAAATTATTTGAAGCTTTCAGAAACATGATTGGTTTTTGCTATGAAGAAAGGGAAGTGTAATTTATGATCCACTTAATAATGTTAGGGGAAAGAAATCTTTCCATAGCATCAGAAGAAATTGCAGCATATATAATTCAGTTATCTTTATTTGCAATAAAGATACTTAGCTACAAAAGCAAATTAAGGAGTTGTTTTAATGCAAGCCAAGTTTTTTAGAGCTCAAGAGAGCAATATTAAAGGCTTCTAAAGAAAATTATAATTATATTTACCAAGGGTTAAAGACATGCACCACACTCACTGCATAATAACAGCAGTCTTTTTTTTTAAAAAAAAACTTGCACTGACAGTTTGCCTGTTTAAAATAGAAAAATGATTTTTTCTTTGCATGTTATGGAATGAAAAACACTGCAAACATTTCAATATTTACTATTCATTCATTTTTTTAACACTGAAATGATATATAAAATAGTTTCTTTATTATGCATAATGGGGTATTTCTTTCTATTTTAAGATATTTGTGATATTTTATTTTGTATTTCACCCAAACCTTATAGTATCAGAAATAAAATATTGCAAATTATCGCAACCTCAGTTTGTTTGTAGCAATGAAGTCTATCCATTTACTATGTTAAATTCAAATTTAAAATCTTTAGAAAAGAAAACACAATTTGGCAAGATGGAACTAGGATTACTTTAAAATATTTAAGCTTTAGAGCATTTAGAGATCTATAATAAGCTGCCTTCAAGCTGACCTGATCATACAATATTTATGTGACATTAAGATAATAAATCTTGGAACTTTACACAGATGTATCAGCAGCACAAGCCTCAATCATGTAAAAATAAATAAAGGGAAGGCAATGTAAACATGGATTTATCTCTAGGAAGAGCAAGGGACTGTCAGTTTTTCATTTTTTAGTTCCATATTTGTATATGAATTTATTCCCAAGACTTATCCTTAATGTAGGGAAAACAGATTCACCGAAGATCCTGTATCTTTTTACTTGAGGTGCTAGAGGCACATATCTTCCACTGTGTTTTAGTAGATTGTTTCTCCTACATTTTAACAGTACTTTGCTGAAGTGTCAATAACCTATATTTCCCAGTTAAAGACCACAGACCACCAATTCTTTTCCTAGAATTGTACACCTTATCAAAGTTTTTCTAAGAAGAAATGGTAATACTTATTCAAGTATATTTTTGTGTCATTATTTTTTCATCTTGTGATAGGATACCAATACATTGTGAGGACATTATTGACAATGCATTTTAGGGACTATAAGAAATTACAATGGAATCTAGATAACTTGGAGAAAAGGCCTGGTAATTTTAAATGATCTGCTGGAGAGTATAAGGCATTACTCCTATCTTAGGTGTCAGTAATATTCATCAACTTTTAGCTGTATAACAATTTTATGACTATAATGGAAGGGGCAATTTAGGTGATAGAGGTATAATTTTTCATGCCAAGCCTCCCAAGGTAGATTCTGTTTGTTGATTTTATAATGGTTTTTCTTTTTCTTAATGATCTGCTACCTATTTACATAGGAAATTATTAGATGTCATATTTTTCCATTGATTCCTTTACTACTAGTTATGTCTGAAAGGTATCACACAGACATATTCTCTAAAATTGTGTTATGTTATAATAATTAATTAATTCAATTATGGAACTTTTACACTTAGGCATGTTTGAACCCCTTATATATGGGCAAGCTGGATAAAATTAACACAAAATAAAGAGAATTATATTTACCAATATAATGCATACATATATATGTTTTTCAAAAGTAATTGAGTACTTTAGATTAATTGTAAGTATTTTAGGTTAAATATTTAATATTCTGAATTCATTTCAATTAAGATTCTTTAGAAGTATTTATTTTCAAGAGAAAAGCAACATTTTAAAGAAAGCAACAATTCTATTATTCAGAATCTTGAAATCCAAAGAGAGAGTGAGACAGAATCAATTGCAAAATCTCCATAGAAAGCCAGTTATTAAACCAGTAGGATCCTACCCCTGGTTTTCCCCAAGGCTGTGGGGAAGGTACAGACCTGTTGAACCTTTATTCTCATTCTGGAATAAGTGATGGCAGCAACCTTGGACAGAATTGTACTGAGCAGACTCTCCCTGTTCACCTATACAAAGGAACACCTTGGGAAGAGATATCTGGAATGCTACAGGAAAAAGTGAAAAAACAAATCTGAGTTATCTCAGCCAATGGGCATATTTGGAATAGTCTGGGTCCTTCTGATAACAAATAGGATTGAAAAATATTTCTTGGCCTGCTGTGAAGAATTGGTTATGTTACTAGTTGCATATGATGAAGGGGGGTGACAGAGGCTACATCTTGCAAGATTACTTGGGATGACTTTCTTGGTGCTGAGGAAGAGGGCAGAATTCTCTGTAACATCAAATCCCTCATCTTTAACAGAGATCTCTGCCATTCCTTGTTGATGAAAGATTTGAGACAGCTAATAGGGGGCTAGGTATAGGCCATGGGTGTTAAACTTGTAGTGTTATGTTGCTGGCACACTTTTTTCCCTTCGCAGAGCTGGGGTGGGTGTGGCTTGCACATGGCACATCCAGTCTGAGGAGCACCAGTTTGGCATCCCTATTATAAGCAATGGTGAAGGATTTTTGGAAGTAGAGTAGTACTGTATGCCTTGAAGGCATACACTATATACTGTATATATGTATACATACTATATACATACATATATACTGTATTTTTTGCTCCATAAGATGCTCTAGGGCGGAAAATAAGAATACAAAAAAAAACCCTGCCTCTGTTTCCCAGCCCATGGCTCATCAGAGCTATGGTCCCCAGCACATGGCTCGTTAGAGCTCCACTCCGTTGCACCTACTGGCCAGCTGAGTGACATCTGGATCCCAGCCTCTTGTATCCCCGCCAATCAGTGGGCTGGCCGACCAGATCTCAAGGATCAATATCTCAAGGAGATATTGCCAAATATAGCAATTTTAGACAAAAATTGGTGAATATCCCAGCTTTCTTTCTCAGGGTGATAGTTCTTTATTTGCAATAACTATGAAGCTATGAATCATCTGGATCCTTTTATATAGTTTTGTTTCCTCTATGAATATTGAATTGAACACACACACACAGACACACACAAACAGACAGTATTTGTTAATATTAGGCCAATAAAAATTATTTAAAAAATTGGGCCATTTTCAGTAAGGATTTAGAACTGAGAATGAAGCTGAATCCATATTCCTATTCTTCTGGATGACCTGCAATGAGCCCAGGACAGAGGAATCTCAACTCCCCTGGCACTGGTTGGTATCTCAGCAATTTTTAATGCCAACAATAATAGTACTTGTATGGTAATGGCTTTAAATAAGGAATGCCAATATGTTAGACTTTCTGCATTCTATTATTGGACCCTATAATAATAAAATAGAGTTCCAGTAGTTTCTGTATTGTCCGTTTCCTAACCTGGCTTCCCTTGAAGGGCTGACAGTATTCTTCTGGATCATTTATATGAGTTGGGAGTTTAGGGGAGGGGCACTCCTCATGCCTAAATGGCCAGCTGCATTTAGCAGTATCGAAGGGTGAAATAGTAGAAGAGTGATGGCCTTAAAGAATCATTCTCTACTGCAAACTTCTGTTGTAAGGTGCCTCAGGAACTGACACATTCTGCCCTTTTCCTTAACATCTATAGGAACCTCAACTCTGGGCTGAACATGAGATGCAGGTTCTGCCTTAATGCTGGGAGGCTATGATGCTCTGGGGAATGAATTGAATTAGACTCCATCCTGTC